AAAAAAAAAAAAAAAAAAGAGATCACATGGCATAGTATATTTTATGGAAGGAACAGAGGAAATTGAATTTTTTGAGATTAAAGTTGAAGTTCTTAGTACTTAAACTGTGTGATCTTGAACAGTTTTTGTTTTTTTTTAACTTTTTTGATTGACTGACTCTCCTTGAGCAATAAGAAATAATTATTGTGGTCAGAGTTGCTTGGAAGCTCAAATGAAAAAAATTACATGAGGATATGCCATATCAACTGTAAAATTCCATGCCAATATGAGGTTGCCTCTCAGTGTTGTGACATCCACGTTCGTCCTTTAAAAAATTTTTTTTAAATGCTGTTTAACCTTGTGGCCTACCTAGTGATATACTCTTAGTCTAACTTTACCTCTTCATTTCATAGATAAAAAATGAAATAGCAATAAGCCTTGGTATCTTGTCTATAATCACTCCAGTAACTCAGAACTGATATGAGACTACAACCCAGATAAAGTAGTACTTTCTATGCAACACCATCCTACTTTCCTTTTTGATTGATTTGCTACATTTTTATGGTTGAATTTAGGAACAAAAACTCTAACAATTGTATAAGACTTCTAATGTAGGAAAGATATAAATTATGAAAATTATGAAAATACGAGTAAACTTCCTTTTTTTAAAAAGAAAATTAAAGAACTATTCCCTACTTTTCTTTCTGTAATGTCACTGGAAACTGTTCATACAATGGTAAGCATACAAAGGGCTCTAGCAAAAGAACATAAAAATTGCCATCCTAGGTCTAATTTTGGAACTAAAGAATGTTAGTAGGAAGGCATGGTCATTTTCTCTGATGTGAAATTTTAAAAAGTTGATGTGCATGCTAAAGAGCTTAATTCATACCCTCTGAATGAATTTACCCCAGCTTTCTTTTCATCCAAATTATTTTCTATTCTATAGTACATCTTAGAAAGCAATAGTTATAAGTTAGCCGCTTATGCAAAATTCCTTAATTTTTGAAAACAACTTCTTTTAAGGCTTAAGTATCTTTTAATTCTAGTATTCTGTGAGTTTGGTGAGAAAATCTGTTTTCTTTTTGTATTACTCATGATTTTAAATGTCACGATCATTTTTAATTCACTGGTACAGACGTTTAAAGTCCATGTAATATACAGAACATTATGATTGACAAAAAAGTTGTATAGGTTATGAGTCAATGGGAGGCAGGGCATCCTGAGATTTAGTTTTTCTTAAATTAAAGTTATATTTGAGCAATTAGTAAGAAGTGGAAGATAATACTTTTAAATATTTGTTATTTGCCCAGCACCTTCCTAGATATTTATTTACATTCTTATTTAAGATTAACAACTTGATAGAATAATTGAAAATATATATTTACTTGATTTGAAGAAAACTAGTGGTATAATTTTTTTTGTTGGAAACACTATGAATAGAATGTTCTGGTAATGGGAACCAGCAGTTAGCATAATGGCTATGTCGCTGGACTCTCATGTAGTCGACCTCGGTTCGTGTCCCAGACCCGGTGACTTAAAACTCACGCCGGGCGTGTGTGCGTGCATGCCCAGGATCCCGAGAGGAGGATGGAGGAGAAGGGATTGTGGCGTGACCATCCCCCCTGGGGGGTGATTTCTCGCTTTCTGTCTCTATGTCTCTCTCTGTCTGACTGGTGAGCGCACACACCCTATAGCGAAAAAACCTCTCCAAAAAAAAAAAAAAGAATGTGCTGGTAAATAGTGCATTTGCCAAAGAAGCCAATGTTAAGATGAACAAACTGGAATAAGAGATTTATTCAAAATTATACCTTTCAGTGAAAATTATAGAACAATGTTAGGGTTTTTCAAATACACTATACTTTGAAACATGAAGACTAGCTAAAATAGTGGTCACAATGCTTTTGAAAGCATTCCAGAAACTGAGTGACTTTTGAATTGTCGCACATGTAATACATTAAACAATAATGGCCACACCACAATCCCTTCTTTTCCATTCTCTCTCAGAATTTGGGGAACAAACACCTACATGCTAGGTCTGTGTTTCAGGCTGCCAGGTCTGGGACTTGAACTGCAGAGTCAGCCATATGAGATCCAGCGCCTTAACCACGCACCACGTGCTGGCCCTTAAAGAAGATTTAAATGTTCTCATCACAAATAAATGGTAAATATTTGAGGTGGTGGATATGTTAAATTAGTCTAATTTGATCACTCCACAATATATCTGTTTTAAAACATCACATTTTATCCCACAAATATATACACGTTCTTTGTTGATCAAATGAAAAAATATAAACTTGAAAGCTTTTTCTAGTCCTAAATGGCTCTTTACTATAGAACTGCTCATCACGGAGTTTCTTTAAATAGCTTTCTTATTGGCTTCAATTGGATTTGTATGTGACTTTTTGCGTTTTCTGAAGTGATCTACCTTGACTAAAGCTACAGAAAATGTAGCAAAATAGGGCTATAATGATTTCATTCTGACATGTAAGTTAAAGGTGTAATAGCGATCTCTGATTTTTTCTAGGATTTTGAGTCTTCATGGTTAATTCTCAATGACAATGGCAGTGGCAATGGCAAGGTTGATTATGGAGAATTTAAACGTGCCATTATTGGTGAAATGAATGAATATAGGAAATCATTTGTTCGAAAGGTAACTTCGTTAAGCAATCTTTCAAATTATTACTTTCAATAGATCATTAAGTTCATTATTTAAAAATTTCAGGGGGAACCAGCAGTTAGCATAATGGCTATGTCGCTGGACTCCCACATAGTCGACCGCGGTTCACGTCCCGGACCCGGTGGCTTAAAACTCACGCTGGGCGCGTGTGCATGCGTGCCCAAGATCCTGAGAGGAGAATGGAGGAGAAGGGATTGCGGCGTGACCATCCCCCCTGGGGGGTGATTTCTCGCTTTATGTCTCTATGTCTCTCTCTGTCTGTCTGGCGAGCGCATGCGCCCTACAGTGAAAATCTCTCCAAAAAAAAAAAAAATTTCAGGGACCAGCAGTTGGCATAATGTTTATGTCACTCCCATGTAGTCAACCACAGTTTGAGTCCTGGACCCAGTGGCTTAAACTCACACTAGGCACGTGAGCGCATTTGCTCAAGATCCCAAGAGAAGAATGGAGGAGAAGGGATTGTGGCATGGCCATCCTTCCTGGAGGTGGGGATGGGGTGGTGATTTCTCGCTTTCTGTCTATCTGTCTCTCTCTCTCTCTTTCCGGCAAGCACATGTACCCTATAGCAAAACCCCTCAAAAAAATTCAATGAATTATCATTTAAAATGTTTTAAATCTTTTTTACATAATCTTATTATTGGGTTTAGTAAAACACAAAATAAGTACATATGCGTATAAATCTATCAAGAATAAAGCAGAACGACTTATGCGTATACTTTAGAAAATACTATAAATGAAAAATTCAAAATCAAGTTTGGTTCATATATTATTAACTCCATAATTGTGGCCTGTGCAAATTGCTAGCTATATAACTGTGCATTAGGAAATACACTGAGCCTCAGTTTTTCTATCTTAGAGAGTTGGTTAGAGTTCAAATATGAATTTGGAGATGGCACAATTCAGTCTGCAATATGTACCATATTTCTGTCAGTTCAATCTTGTAAATTATCAAACTTAATTCTAGTTCGACTCTTCTGCAAACGTGGGATGTTGCTTTAGGCAGCTTGTGTGTTTCTGTGTACCTAATCAACTTTCCAATGTTTCCAGAGTTGCACTGAATTAAAGGAGCAATAAAACAACTAGCATTTCAACAGGTAATATTACATTTCAAGAAACCCTGTAATGAAACTCAAAAAGTATTTCACTCTTATTGATCAGATCTAGAATATCTGCACACTCACTTTTTGAATTAAAATAATGCCCTTGGAAATTTGATTTGACCATTTACCAGTTTCATGTGACCCTAGAGCTGAAAGATACCTGAGAGGTCTTTAACTCAACTCCTGTTTGAAGAGGAGGAAAACCAGGGCCACAGAGGTTACTATCTCAAGATTAGAATGCTGGGAAATGGTAGAACTATTACCTGAGTGTAGGTTTCCTAATATCTTGCTTCATTGTCTTTTCCTTGTATGCACATTTATGGTGCTTCTTTCATATGCCAGTTTAATACTTTTAACTTGTCTTGTTTATAGATCGGAAATAATGTACTGCAAAATAGAAAATTAGATTCTCATGTCTAATGATTTTTAAAAAAATAACACTTCTCTCTTTGTTTAGGCCTTTATGAAACTGGATTTTAATAAAACTGGCATTGTGCCTATTGTAGACATAAGAAAATGTTATTGTGCAAAGAAGCATCCCCAAGTAATTTCAGGTAATAATTATGAGTCAAAATGTATTTGATTTCTAAAATGCTACTTAATAAAAGTATGGCTTTCAATGATGTTAATTTAAAGCATAGACTGAGGCCATTAATGGAGGAAATAAACAATTGTTTTTTAATCTAAAACTTGAGAGCTATTTGCCCATCTTCATTTAAAAATCTTTAAGTTTATTATCTGAATGTATTTGTTTCATTGATATTTATATCTAAGACATAACTCTAATGAGTGGAAACTTGAATGAAAAAGAACAGAATAGATTTAGAGAATAGATAATTATATATGCAAATTCTCAGAGTATATTTTTTTAAGAATTATTTTATTTAACTTTACTTATTTATTTTAATTTGATCAGAGAGGGACAGAGAGAGAAAGAGAGACAGAAAGTGAGACAACAAACTGCCAGGTCCAGGACTTGCACTGCAGTTGGCCATGTGGGAGTCCAGCACCCTTAACCACCATGCCACCTGCCAGCCTCCAAGAATTTTATCTTTATATAAGTTTATTTGTTTCTTCTATGAGAGAGAGAGAGTGAGAAAGAGAGAGAGAGGGCGAAGATGGGGAAAGAGAGAATAGGCACTTTTAAAAAATATTTACTAATTCTCTTCGTTGTTTTTATGTTTATAATTGATGGTCATGCAGCAATCCATACTCCATTTCTCCATCCTATTGGGTTTATGGACATGCACACACCTGTGCCTAATGTGTTTTTCAAGTTTCTGGGGCTGAGGTTTAAACTGTAGCCACCTTGTGGAATCTGGTTCCCTTAATCACTAAATTATGAAACTATCGCTGAAGGTTTTTTGAACATGAAAAAAAATCACTAAACATATTATTATGTAGCTTGCTTTTCACACTCAACAATACATTGTAGAGCTCTTTCCATGTTAATTCATATTGACTCACCTTATTTTGGTGTACTGTATGTTATTATTTTTCTACATTAATATACTATGATTTACTTAGGTATTATCCTACTGGTAGACTTTTAATTTCTAATTATTGATGTATTACCAGTGAAGCAATACATATGCCTCTTTGTGGCTCCTTAGGCACGTTTTCTATTTTCATGGAGTTATAACAATGACTAGAATTGCTAGGATGTCTACATTTAAAATTTTAGCTGTTATGTCCAGATTACATTGTAAAATGGCTATACTAGATTGCTGGAGAATACTGTTCCTCCATAACTTTGATAGCAACTTAGCTTTATACCAATCTGATAAGTTAAAAAAGAAAAATAATTTCAGTTGCATTTCCCTGGTTACAAGGGTGATTAAAGATATTTCCATATATTCATTGACCAGTGGTCTGTCTTTTATGAATATTGTCCATTTTTAAATGAAGTTTCTTACAATTTATAGATTGAATTATAATTACTATTATTGTAGAATTTCATTTTTTATTTTTGTTTTTAAAAGTTTCTTTCTTTCTTCCAAAAGAGAGAGAAAGTGATGGAAAGACAGCACTCTCAGCAGGGTCTTCATGCTGTGATCCACTCTCAGCTCCAGCCTACCCTACTTCATGGGCACGCATGCACCCGGTGTGTTCAGAGTGGTCTCTGGATATAAACCCAGAGCCTTCCCATGTGGGTCAGCTGTGCAGAGCATTGACATACTGCTGTACCACCACCTCCCCGCCCCCAAAATTTTATTTGTCTAATATGAAAGGAGATACACTGTAATGGCTTGGGTTTCTTTTTATCTTTTCTTTCTTTTTTTTATTTTTTTTCTTTAGAGAGGTTTTTGCTATAGGGCGCGTGCGCTTGCCAGAAAGACAGAGAGAGACAGAGAGACAGAAAGCGAGAAATCACCCCCCAGGGGGGATGGCCACGCCGCAATCTCTTCTCCATTCTTCTCTCGGGATCTTGGGCACGCACACACACGCGCCCAGTGTGAGTTTAAGCCACTGGGTCCGAGATGCGAACTGTGGTCTACTACATGGGAGTCCAGGACATAGCCATTATGCTAACTGCTGGTTCCTGGCTTGGACTTCTTATCTTTAAGTCTTATATATGGTATATTTATTACTTTTAATACTCAAGTGAAAAAAATAAAACTTATTATGAAGATTAAAGCTAATCATTATTGTTTCCCAAATTTCTAATGATCTATGTCAGGTCAGAATAGTTTAATTTGCTTATCCATGACTTCAGATTAACTGCATTTATTATAATTTCTAGTATTATTTGTCCTTATATTTCCCCTTTAAACACGTCATTCTTTCCTCCTGTCTCTTTAATTAGTGAGATTAAATATGAATACAAAATAGTTTACTCATTTCAGCAATTGGGTGATTTTAACACCATGAGTTTTTCTCCTTCCATATAATAATCTCAAATAGATTGCTTAAGTGACTTAGTTTTATTACGTATCATCGAGTTGTCGAGAGATTTTTGTTTCTGTTGCTGTTGGGAAAGCCTTAGCTTCAGAAAGTTCATACTTTGTCTTTACATTTATATTAAGGATGATAAGGCAGCAAGCTAAATAATCTCAGGAGAAAACTTCTTTGTTTTGTAAATAAGAAAAGAAACACCTATTTTTATCTATCATTACAAATTATAATCTATTACATGCCAATCTCTGAGGTATAGATTGTTTACAATTTATAATTAATTTTAAATTAAGACTCTTATACCACATATAATTTATTGATCAAAAACATTCTCTTTTTGGGAACCAGCAGTTAGCGTAATGGCTATGTTGCTGGACTCCCATGTAGTTGACCACGGTTTGTGTCCCATACCCGGTGGCTTAAAACTCACGCCGGGCGCGTGTGCATGCATGCCCAAGATCCCGAGAGGAGAATGGAGGAGAAGGGATTGCGGAGTGACCATCCTCCCTGGGGGGTGATTTCTCGCTTTCTGTCTCTCTGTCTCTCTCTGTCTGCCTGGCGAGCGCACGCGCCCTATAGCAAAAACCTCCCCCCGCCCCCCCAATTCTCTTTTTTACTTTGTTAAGTTTCATTAGAAAAAATTGCTTCCAAGTTTAATAGAAATGGGATAAACTATATGTATTTCTGTGTAATGGAATTAGAAGTCTAATGTTTGTCATTGTAAATATTTTTCAATATCTAAGAGGAGTGAAATAAATTTTAGTTATGGTAAAAGGTAGATATTTTCTGGGCAGGAAATTTAAAGGATGTATAAAGTTTTGACCATTTGGACTGGCAGGTGGCATGGTGGTTAAGGGCACTGGACTCCCACATGACCATCCAGAGTTTGAGTCCTGGACCTGGAGGCTTGCTTCCTTGTTTTCCCCCTCTCTCTCTCTCTCACTCTCTCTTTCTCACTCCCACCCTGTCCCTCTCTGGTCAAATGAAAATAAAGAATGAAATAAAATAATTCTTTAAAAAAAGTTTTGACTATACATTTAAATGAATATTTTTCTTTGAAACATTATGTTAAAACTAATCTGTTCCAAAGTATGAATAACAAACTATTCAGAGGGTTTCCAGAAGGAAATTTGTCCTGGCAAAATTTATTTTTATATAGAAATCTTGATTCATTTTTATTTTCAATTAACATTTAATCACAGATTCTCTTTACCATTGTATATTTGTGTGTGTACATAGCGTAATTATTTAGTCCTTTTTCATTCAACCTCTTCTTTATGAAACAATCACTTTGTTTTGTATTTCTCATGTATTTTTTTTTCCAGGACTAAATATCTCTACTGGTAAATTTACCAAACATAAAAAATTTATCAATTTATTTATCAATACCAATTTATCACAGATTCTTCCAAAAATATAAGAGGCAGGAACACCTCATATGATTTTTTTTTTCTTTCTTTCTTTTTTTTTTTTTTTTGGAGAGATTTTCACTGTAGGGCGCGTGCGCTTGCCAGACAGACAGAGACATAGAGACAGAAAGCGAGAAATCACTCCCCAGGGGGGATGGTCACGCCGCAATCCCTTCTCCTCCATTCTCCTCTCGGGATCTTGGGCACGCACGCACACGTGCCCGGCGTGAGTTTTAAGCCACTGGGTCCGGGACACGAACCATGGTCGACTACGTGGGAGTCCAGCGACATAGCCATTACGCTAACTGCTGGTCACCTCATATGATTTTGTCCATATTCTATGAATGGTGTGTTAAGTTATTTGCCTGCTTTGGATCGACTTTGTATTGCTTCTACAGATATGACTTGGTCATTATGTATAATCTTTTTTATGTTTAGTTGGATTTGGTTTGCTCATGTTTTATGAAGATTTATGGGTTTATATTCATAATGTATATTGATCACATGTATCTTTCTAAAAAATTAAAAAAAATAATTTCCAGAAGATAATAATTTACCACTATTTAAAGCAAATTTAATTCCTTTAGTTGGAAAGGCACTTTATAATTCATTATTACCTAAGGGCCATTAGAGAATCTTTAGTTTGTGAACAAGTCCCCACTCATTCCCTAATTTTGTCCACTCTTTTAGAGAAGAGATTAGGGTGGTATTTCCATTTAAACCTGTTATTACTTTACAGGTCACTGCACAGAGGAAGAAATCAAATCATCTTTTCTGGACACATTAGAAGAAGCCTGCAGCAAGTCTGATGAAGTGTCGTATGGTGAATTTGAAGATTACTATGAGGGTCTAAGTATAGGAATAGCAGATGATGAAGATTTTATTAACATCTTACGTATTCCATGGGGGATTTAGTTTTAATAATGCTATGTCATCAGGACTAAGCATTTTATAGAAGAAATAAATTGAATGTAAAGTATGATCAAACATTGTAACATTTTTCTGGGACTCTCTTCATCCTGTTTTTCTCAAAAAAGTTGAGTCAGGAAAGAGAACTATTCAGAAAGATATATGTTGGAGTATGTATGTTCATGCATGTGCACGCATGCTCATCATCTAAAAAATTGTAAAGATATGTCTTTTTCGTCTTTAATTTACTTTGAATATAATTTAAAAATTAGCCTCAATCAGAAAGCTTCATCTGGTGGCAAAAGGTGGAGTGATGGTTCAGGCACTGAACTTCCACATGGCTGATCATGGTTCAAATCCTGGACCTGGTGGCTTCAAAATCTTGCTGAGCACATGTGTGTGCATGCCCAAAATACCAAGAGGAGAACAGAGAAAAAGGGTTGAGATGTGGCCATGCCCCCCGGTGGGGGGGGGAGATGTGATTTCTCACTTTTCCTCTCACTATCTATTTTTGTCTCTCTCTAGTCAGCATGCTATGGCAGGAACCTAAGGAAAACAAAAAGTAACTTAAGTTTCATTTATATGAGAGCATCTATATAGTAACTAGGTTTTCTGTCCCTTCAACTTATTTTTTGCTACTTCTCCAGAGTATAAGTGCCACCATTCTTAATTTGATCAATTGGAATTGGGCCTGAATCCTATAAGACTGAAACACTTCAACTTGTTTTAAGCATATGAAAATGTTAAAGAACTAAAGGATATGCAGGAGAAATTTTCTGAGCAGGGCGATTATAGATGTTTTCTGTAACACTATTATTTAGAATGATTGAAGTTTATCCTTACAAGGCACGTACACACTCATTTGTCTTGCATTCTTCTCTTGTAAATTACATGCGGTTTGTTCAATAGGGTACGGTTTTTCTAGTGGCCAGTTATATTCATTCTTTAATTCTGTTTTTAACTGTGGTCCTTGTTACAGGCATAAAATTATTTAGTTAAAAACAATACTATATAGGAAGAAGAATGATCTCGTATATGATTAAATAAATATCTCAAAAAGTACGTGACCACATAAATGGATCTAAGAGATAATTTAATAATTCTTTCCCAGAATGCAATAGCGTATTTTTGATATCTTAAAATGAGTGTATGGCATTCTAAACATATCATTTTTGGTATACTAAACAACTGAAACATTTTATTCTAAAGATGTATTATTTAATGGTTAGATGTATTATAATTATTCTTTATAAATTCTATGTTCTTCACTTCTTCCTGGGAATACAGAGAACTTTATGATGTTTTTCTAAGTTCACAATTTAAAATTTTATTGGGGTGCTATCAAACTTACTACTCAAATATCAGAAAGAAAATATGTACAAACTTTCAGTGCTATTTTCCCTGGCTAAATTCCTTATGTTTTTTTTTTAAATATTAAGTTATTGAAATTAAACAATATTCTAGAAGACATTTTGACAGAAATAAGCCTGTAACATTTTTTTCTTTTTTTTATTAATTTGCCTGAGAGCTCACGAGCTCACCAAAGAGAGACAGAAAGAGGAAGAGGGAAAAAGCACCACCTATGAGGAATGACCATGCTGCAATTTATTGGTATACCTCTTTCTCTCCATTCAGGATTTTGGACACACATGCATACACGCCCAGTGTGCTATTCAAGCCCCTGGGTCCAGGACTCAAACAGCTTGGACAACTATGTGGAATCCAACTCCCTTAACTATCAGCCTGACCCTATAACACTATTTCTAAGTTACTTTTGTTTTTCTTGGAAAAATCCATCTGATTATAGACATCTTGAACTTTACAATTGTTCTCATGTTAAAGTGACTAATACTAAGGATTTTTGATATGCATATAGCGTTTTTTGCTGATCTCTTCTTAGTTTTTCTTAATGAACCTTGCCTTAGGTTTATTAGAAAATACATAGGTTGTCATTGTAAAAAACGGAGACATACTTCTGGAGTTGAATGTATTAGTATGTCAGCATACTCTTAATGTAAACTTTTATACGAATAAAAATATTCACCTGTGGTTAAATGCAGGAAGTATTTTTACTTACGAGATATAACTTTTAGTACAGTTAATTTCTTATTGTTTTTTATAATTGTTATTCCTATGTAGAGTTAAAAAAAGACATTTTTTGGTGTATTTTGTTAAATTACAATTGATGACACAATAAATCATCTTGCTTTTGAATTTGTCTCACTGTCTGTATTCTTTAATTTTAGTATAGTAAAACTTGTTATCTAGTATTCAATTTAGTAGAAGAGCATTTAATAAAAGTGGTATTGCTAAATATTCACAAATGTAGTAATCAGCTTTTTTCTTTTTTTCTTTTTTGAGAGGTTTTTCACTATAGGGCGCGTGCGCTCGCCAGACAGACAGAGAGAGACAGAGAGACAGAAAGCAAGAAATCACCCCCTAGAGGGGATGGCCACGCCGCAATCCCTTCTCCATTCTCCTCTCGGGATCTTGGGCACGCACGCACACGCGCCCGGCGTGGGTTTTAAGCCACCGGGTCTGGGACGCGTACCACGGTCGACTATGCGGGAGTCCAGTGACATAGCCATTACGCCAGCTGCTGGTTCCCAGTAATCAGCTTTTGAAATCTTAATAGTTTCCAAAATAATATCTTGGAGTAATTTAAAAATATTAGGTTATATGTTGAAATATTGTTACATGAATTTATAGCTGAGTGTATTTTATATGTGTGTCTAGATTTTTGAAAGTTATTTTCCTATTGTGATACAGACTTGTCTTCTCAGTTATCAGTTAACAGTATTTTTATTTGATTGTGTTTATTAATTTTATTCCTTTTTTTTTTTTGCTTCAGGATGCATATGCTTATAAGAGAGCGAGAGAGAGAGGGAGATAGATCACTCCCTATAGGGCATGGCCATGCCATCTGTTCTACCTAAGCTCATCTCTCTATACTCAGCTTATTCTTCACATTTCTTCTCTTCAGTTCGTCTCTCAGAATTTTGAGCATGCACATACATGCACTAGCCATGTTTTTCTAGCCATTGGGTCTGGGACTCTAACCACATAAGTAGCCCATGTGGGATCCAGTGTCTAAACAACCATACCACTTATTGGCTCAATTTTCTTTTTATAAATAAAATTTTACAGAATTCTCAGGGAAAAAAATCACATTTTGTTAGAAAATAAGTGATATTATATTAGAATTTTTAACTGTATTTTAATGGAAAAAGATATTTCCACGGTGGAGCATTTATAGTGTAGTTAAAAGTATATGTTCCTATTTTTAGTTTTATAACATGTGAATATAAAAGTTAAAGAGTTAATGGACCAGTGGCTCTGCATAGACTTAGAAGAATTTATAATTTTAATAAGCCATAAAATACACCTTATTTTACCCATTACTTTTGACTTCTAGTCAGTCTAAATTATTTTCAATTACTTCTGAGGAGAAAAGGCTATGTTTACTGCATATTATTTAGCACACCATGGTAAGATTATAGTTTTTATTATTATTTTTTTTTAAGAGTTTTTGCCTTAGGTCAAATGCACACACTGGGGAGAGAGAGAAACAGAGACAGTGAAAGGGAAAGTGAGAAATCACTCCCCACTTGAGATTATAGTTTTTTATTTGTGGAAATAAATAGGTGGCATGGTATGTACTGTGTTCACTACCAGGTTGATCCAACAAGGCTGATCGGGAAGAGCATTGTTAGTGAAAGTGCTTTAAGAAGTAGCAGGGTCTGGGCCTATGTAACATGAGTCCAGCAGCGAAAGAGCAAACAGATCCAAAGGGTGGACAGAGATGTATTATTTTATGACATTGAGAAGCTCACCCATTATGCCCTTTCATTTTTGATTTTAAAGTTATACAAACTTCTAAGGAAAATTCATTTATTGGATGTGCTTTGTATAAGAGAGAACAAACATCACATATTAGACCTACTGTGCATTTGATCATTATCTGTTCATTTAGTCAGTCCTTTGGTGAGTAGCACTGTCCATACAATTGCTCAAGGTTCCTAGATATTTTAGGTTTTTCTCACACTCCCTGTATACCCATTTAGTCTCAAGTCTTAAGTTTTTTCCCCTTTGAATCTGTTCCTTTCACTATTCTCAGTGCTGATGCCAGAATACAACTCTTATCACCTGTCGTGTGTATTGCCCCTCATCAACTCAGTCCCCTTCCCAATCCTATTCCGACCCACCACACATTGCTGTTAAGTGACCCTTTTCAGACTACTTCACTTCCTGAATAAAATTCCTCCCTGCTAGCCCATATCTTCAGAAAAGTTGAAACTCTTAACACATAAAACCTAAGTGCAGTGATCTCTGTAATTTCATCTATCTATTCTCAGCTCATTCCTCCCATTTCTCCAACCCTTCTGAATTACCTATAGTTTTAAAATGGAATATGAGGTTTCAAACCTCTCTACTGTCATACCTGTGTTACACAACTGTCTACAAAGATTTTCTCTACGTAATGAATCTAAATTAATTCATACTGGTCTCATACTATGTTAAGAATCTTTTTTCTTTTTTTCTGAAAAGTTAAATCCGACAAACTCTTGAATATGATATAGTTTTCGAAAGTGGGATTCCCAGTTACACACTTGTTCCCTTAAATTAGCATTTATCACTTTACATGATAATCATTACTTTGCTTATGTTTTATCCAGTACATTCTTTATTATTATTATTATTATTATTATTATTATTATTTTTGCAGAGGTTTTTGCTATAGGGCATATGCGCTTGCCAGACAGACAGAGAAAGACAGACAGAAAGCGAGAAATCACCCTTCACGGGGGATGGCCACACCACAATCCCTTCTCCTCCATTCTTCTCTCGGGATCTTAGGCACGCACACACCGTGGAGGTAGAAATGATATTTTATTTAGCCTTGTGATACTGGTCTCTGCCTGACACAGGGTTGGGATTAAGTCAATGTCTGTTGCTGGGTGAGTGTATGATTTATTGAGCAGTGATTATTATGGTTCTTGCAGTTGAACATGTTTGTATTAACATAGTTTAGCATAGGTCATGTAAAGAGTATGAATGTGCTATTTAGCACAAGCTTCAATTATAGGGACAATAAGTTATCTTTTTAAAGAATGTAGGTTCAACTAGACAGGAAGAAAAAACTTTACTGATCTATGGAACTGAAGAGTGATTGTAATAAATAATACATTGCATATTTCAAAATCTCTGTGAGTAGATTTTTAGTTTTCACTACACACAAAAAAGTGGGAGACTTCAAAAGTCTGTAGAAAAATGAAATTAAAATATAAGCTTATTTGGGTGCAAAAGAATTTTGAAATCCATGCATAGTGTTTTCATAATATGCATTTTCCATGAGATTTTGAAGACCTCTCATATGTGAGGTGATGGATTT